ATTTGACTTGATGTGGTATCTGAGACTTTTGTGGTTCTTCGTTTTGTCAAGCGTGTATATCTAGCTAGGACCTGTGAATCATTAACCTTCCTCTTTCGATATATTTCAGGGAATATCGTAGGAGCATAACTCGGATTTTCTTCCTCGTCTGATTTTTTGTTTCCCATAAAATGTTCACTACAAATTGTGTCGTCAGGTTTGGGATACCATGGCGACCCATCAACACTAAAATAATAAAGACAATAATGAATATCACATAAAATATATAGCGCAAATAAAATTGATCATAATTTAAGGTTATTTCGCTTACTTATTTCTTTTTATGGCATCTATCCGTTTATTTCTTTGATTTAATTTCCAGTCCAATGTAGGAAATATATACACAGACTATTTGTGCCCTTATTTTTGCAATTCACAACACAACAACATCTATTAATAGGCATTTTAAAAAATTTTTGTTTATTACGAACTCCGTGCAAATTGACTTTACTTTCCCGGATTGTTGCGTATTTCTGCCACGATAAGCGCTGCGATCGCTTCACTATACCCCCACCATGTACTTCGCACATAGCGAATAGTCGGTGCGCATCTAATCTAATTAATCTAAATAATGAATTAACAAATAAAACAAATGTGTTATTAATATTCGATCGATTTATTAATGAAGCATATTTACAACGATCTATGATGTCATCATATTAATCTTGCAAAAATAAAAGATTTCTTTATATGTAGGTAAGACGCTTTCAATTTAAAATAAATTTTACATGTTCTTTTACAAAATGGTTAAATTTTTTGTATCTAACTTACCTATATGATGACTCAATTTACACCTGGTCATTAACCCGAATACGATTGCCAATGGATTTCGGGTTAACGACAAAGTGTAAATGTAATAAATGAATGTATTCGGGTAGTTACTTTTGGTGAGGTACCCCACACCGTCTTCCAGCTTGTATTTTAGTTTAATATTGCTTTGGGTGCCCTAATGAGAGTAGTTTCTTTCATTCACAAGAATACGGGCTAAAGATCAAGTGTAATTTAGCCATAATTATGCTGTATCATAATGGTAGGGACCCACGGAGCGTCTTACACCCGTCATCAAAATCTAAATTGAATAGCGTGGAAATGATGATATTTTTAATTTTTAAATAATTGCTTGTACGCCTTGCCTTGAACAATGGATACTTAAGAATCTGTCAATCGCGACTTCGTATCTGACGCTCGCGATTTAGTATCTGATACTCGGGTATGTCGCTCGCCTTCTAACCAACTCAGTGTCTGACTGAAGATTTAGTGTCTGACACTCGCGACTCAGTATCTGCTGAAGAATTATTAATAGTTGGTTCATATGTGTGGAATGTGAACTAACAAACAACATTTAATAATTAATTTAGTTTGTGTTTTTATCATAGTCTAAGAATAACAATATAAGGCCCATATTATAATGTCAGCAATTTTCACGTTTTCACACTGTCAATATTTAAAATAAACTTGATTAATTAACACCGGCGACACTTGCCCTACATTATTTTACGTCAATTTCTGTAAAATAAGTAATATGGAGCGAATGACTGTAACCAAAACATCATGCTGCATGCAGATTATATTATAGTGATAGTCAAGTAATGAACTTAATAATTATACAGAGTGGTCCAATTAGTGACTACAAATTCTTTTTTTTTCCCCGCACCTGGGGGTATTTGAAAATACCCGATGTATTTTCCGTGATTTTTCTTAGTTTTCGAGTTATATTTTTTTTTTGTGTATTTTCAATGATTTCTGCCAGCGAGGTTTCAAAAATTCATATCTTTTTTCGTAGTAGGTATTTTGCAGTCTCTTTTGTTGTGACATAAACGTCTTGAATGTTGTTTTGAATAAAAAAAAATACTCAGCTTCCTGAAATTACTTAAAGTTACTCAAACATTCAACTTCAATTTAAAAATACAAAAAGGAGTTTCCATAACTTCTGAATAAGTTTTAATACTCCGCATCATTCATCATTAAAAAAAAAGTACTTAATCAGCCTATTTTTGTTGTAATTGGCCTTCGAAGGCGGATAGGCTAAAAATCATTGAAACACGATTAAAGAATTAAAAAATATTTTATCTACCTTTTATCATTGTTATGGTAAACTTAACTTAAAAATGTAATTTTAAAATAAAGTTAATTGAAATTCCTGTAAAATAACTATAGCATGTGTAATTTTACAATAATTTCGGTTCATACATGTATTTTTAGATACTGCCAGGTGCGAGGAATCTAGAAAAAATGTTGACGTCACTAATTGGACCACCCTGTATAAAACAGCTTAGTAAAGATCTTTATAATTAAAAAATTTTTTAACTGAAAGCTTTTAATGTGGATCTTTCAAGATCCAGGTTAACTCCTCCAACCACTAGGCTAGGTTAGGGCCGCAACCAGAGTTGTATTAAGAGATGGGGCAGCAGTAATTTAAGGTAGGGCAATGGTATTTTAAGGTGGGGCATTGTCCCATAATTCCCCCCCTGGCTACAGCCCTGGACTAGCTTAAAAATACTTTTTTGTTACTTAAATTATTCTAACTAACATTACATGTTATATTGTCCTGGACGTTGGCAATACAAAATCCCGGATATCACAAATTTTAAGTCACTTGCCTATGGCGTTTATATGGCTAAGGTCACGCTACTAGGAGCTTTGCTTGGTGCTGAGTGCCAAGCTAGTCACTGAGTGACTGATCATACTAAAGACACATATTGCCTACACTACCAATGAGTTCGTACGGCAGTGATTTGCATAGTTTCTCCTTTTTAGTGTTCCACATATCCGGAAAAAATGGTACTTCTATAGGATCACTTTGTCGGCGGTCTATCCGTCTGTCTGTCTGCCTGCCGAGACCCTTTATCTCGGGTACGCTTTTTTTAAACCATATACCCAGGTCTACGGGGTCCCTTGAAGCTTCGAAAAAATCAAACTTAATTAGAAAATAAAAAAAGATACGGTCGTTTATTTTGCGTACCTACAAATATGTACGGAGTCCAACTCGAATTTGGCCGTTTTTTTTAACTTTGCACTCAACCATGCTCTTTGTTGCTACCTTAGCCTTACAAATGTGTAGTGACTGGACAAAATCTAATTTAATTTTAGTAGTCCAAATATTTGTACTTTTCTTAATTAGTAATAAATAAAACATATAAGTAGGTACCAAATTAATACTTTCACAACTAAAGCCAAATGTGACATTGTTGAGGCGTGGCTATGAGAAAAAAAAGTTATATATCTACTAAGGTAATGACTATGACCACAAACAACGATAGTAAAAATATCTTTGACCACCAAACTTGATTAGGGCGCGTTGAAAGTAGCCGCGCGGAGGCATAGCGTCTGCAGCGCTGCCAGGGTCGGATTAGAGGTGTCCCTGGGGCAACGAAGGATTGGAGGCCCCTATTTAAAATTTGGCACCCTGGTTGGTTATTTATCTCTGTTATGGGGGCCCCAATACAATTTTCAATCTTAGCGAAGATAGTGCGGCTGCAGTGCTGCAGACGAGAAAAGTCTAGCGAAAGTTTGCAGCCAGCGAATTCTGATACCTTTCACCCCCTGTCCAGCAGGAGAGGATAAAATCTACAAATGTGACAATATTTTTTTTATAGCCACACTTGTAGTCAATTACTATGAAGATACATTGTAAATAAATTAGAATATAACACAAAAAATAATAACACTAAAACAATTTTGAGATAAAAAATAATTCTTATTAAAGTTGTCATAATTTCTCACCAACCAGCAGTGTAGTTTTTTTTTCTTATTATTTGAATAAGTTTGCTTTAGTAATACATTTTTATTTATGTTAATGGATAGTGTAAACATTCTAAAGCATTTTTTAGAATATCAGTTTGTGTCAAAGATTTGAAATGATCTTTTTTCATAGTACTAAGACAAAGGTCTTTAAGGTAATTTTATTTTTAGACTGGTTATTTATAAGCGAGTGACCAAAGGACATGAATATTTTAATATCTAGGTTGGTTTTACATGTTTAAGGTGTTTGGTTATGGCTGCATTAACAGGCTAACTACTAAAGTTAACTTTACATTTAAGGCAGGGTCGTCATGTCATGACGGTTTCAAATTCCCACTCCCCATTGCCACTATAATTGATTTATATTATCTTTGTGTAAACATAATGTAAATTTTGCTCTTTTAGGGTTCATTTTTGTTAATTTTTAAAACCCAATAACTATAAATTTTATTTAAGAATAAATAATATTGTATGACCAAATAGTACCTTTAAACCATAAGTAGTTATTAATTCCTTAATTTATATTTTATTTAATAGATGGCGTTACATTGTTTGTGAATCGCGTTAGTGTTCCATAACAGCCGTTTATATTAGTCTTAAGGCGTTGTATTTAAATTTCGAACTTTCCAATAAAAACCTGTCATGTGCGAAACAGTTTGTTTCATTTGCAGAGCACACACTCTTGGCCACCTTGGAGTTTGCCCAAATATGAAGTTTAGCTATGTCACCTGGCTATTTCGATAAATAAAATGGTTTTTCTACAAAAGTCTATATATCAATTTAGTTGTGGAAGATCTACTGGTCTTTAACTTAACCTATATTAGCAGCCACGATAATTAAAGTATGTTACTGCAATAATAGTGTCTTTATTTATTTTTCAGGTGGGTTTCACACTTTTCTTGCTATAAATCTTATGCTCCATTCTCTGTAATTGCATACGAAAACAAAACTTTCATTCCCAAATAGAGGCCCTTTGAAATGTAACTCCTGTTTTTTAGAGAATATCAGGAACTAAATACCTACAATGCTTAATTTATTTTGAAATAAATTATCTTTTTGTGAGTAAGGGAAATGGTTTTGTTTTTATAATACTCAAAAGTGCATATTAAATTAATTATTAACTTATTTGATTTTTCATAAAAAAAAATACAATTTACCTTTTTTTTTTACAACAATGTCAAGTGTTGTTGAGATTGGATAAATATTATTTACATCTCTAATCATTCTTGGATTTTTAATATTTTGACTTTCTGTATATCTGCATATGGCAGCATAGCAACTGAGGCAGATCTCTTGAAATTATGAACAAAATTGAGAACTGCAATCTTTTTTGGCATAGCTACGATAACAGTGTGGCCTTCCTCACCTTCTAGTACATCTACTTGTAATATTGGACACATGCTCAACACTGGACAGTCACAACGTTCCATAAAGTTGTATTGCTTTATCGGTTCAGCGTTAAAAATATCAAATTCACCTTCAGAATACGGTGCATAGTAGATTCGAAGCACTCCCCAGTTGGATCCCACAAAGAAAACGTCTCCGTATGCTCGTATTGTTATTATATCTCTCAATGGTCCTTCAGGCACTGAGTGGTTGAGCACATACATCCACTGGAAATAAATTCTCCAATCCAACTCACCTAACAAATTATATTCTTGCAACTGATGTAGTAAGTTGGAATTCGCTCCAAGTGTACAGGAGTACACTAAATTGTCACCAACAACAGAGTGGATGACACGTTGAAATGTCAGCACATTTAAATTTTTCGTAAACCCCAAGCATATGACACCATCTTCGGACTTATTCATGTATCTAGTAGTCAGATCGCCATTTTCAAGATTACAAACGAAAATCTCATCTTTTAAATTCACATAGTACACATGTCTGTCCACTAGAATGAATGTTTTGACATTATCAAACGTAACATTGGTTTCGTAGTGCGGATTGTATATTAGCTTACGTATTATATACAACTGGAGGTGATAGCTCAGGATCACAATGGTATCATGATTTTCTGTGTATCGGAGATAGTTGCCGGTAATTACTCCACGTTTGCAGACTTCCAAAGTTTCGATATCATAGTAACAAATAGTTCCTCGTTTGTGAACACCGATTATACCGTCGCGCAGGATTTCGAAGCCTCTTATTTCGTCGCTGACTTTCGAAGCGGCGGCAAACTCATCTCGGATTTCTCTTGAGGACTCTAGCTTGGGCCAGAGGGTCAAAGAACGGTAAATGTGGAACCATAGCACCCCAGCGCGAGCTTTCTCGCGAGCTATTCTATACACCTTATTGAAATCGGTTTGGCAGTGTTTTCTCCAAAAAGCGTCACTTTTAGTAAGCCCGTCCACTATGTGCTTGAACCAGGAACATACTTGGCGGCATTTAGTCAAATCCTTCGCTGATAAATACTTGAAAATATAGAGAATAATTTCAGGGGGCAGAGAACATATGTTACAGAACTCATCGTCTTCGGCCATGGTTAGTTCTGTTGAATGGTTAATATTTATTTGCTGCTTGTATGTTATGGAACATTTAGGGCTGCTTAATCAAACTGCATGATATATTTTTTTGAGTTTTGCCTGAGAAAAGCAAATTATTTTGTTTTTTCCATAAAACAACAACAAATCTTGCACAATTTGACAGCACAATATTGAACGAATGAATGAATGGAATGGTGCTTACTCTCTCTCTGACTAGAATAACATCAGTAGTGAAGTGAAGTTTCTACGAATTAAATTCAATTAGTTCAATTGAATTAAATTTCATTGAGATACCTAAAGAAAATGGTGTCCGTGATGCTAGCGTACCCACGATCAATATACGGTTTTTCGTTATGCCATTAAATACTGCGTAAATAGTGCCAAATTAGTGTAAAAATAAAAAAAATAGTGCCTCTTTAATTTAAGAAATAAAGACCATTTTTACTGTGTACGCTACCATGACGTCAAGCTAGCGTACCCATGGCCGACCCCAAGAACGGCATATATTTAAGCAACGAAATTGACGCACAAAAATAGTTCGCAAATAGTGCCCTGGCTTTACAAAATTTCATAATCAATACTCTTAAAGGACCAAAGATATTAAACTAAACATTCTTAGCTGGCGTCAACCTGGCGTACCCATATTAGTTCTCATAGAAAATGAACTTTTCTCGTTATTAATTCTATGTGTATAAATAGTGTGTCAAATAGTGCCTCTAACAGTAAAAGTATTTTATGTGAATTCACAGTAAAACAATATAAAAAAAGCAATTAAATTATTTTTATATATAAAGTACAGTCATGTACAGAAGTGATAATATTTTCGTAGTATAGTAGGTAAGTGAGGTACTTAGTAGGTAGGTTCAAATTCTTATATGAATTTATGATTGGTGAATTCGAATTGAAATAAAATATCTTTTTATAAAAAGTACCTATTTATTTTAGTAAAAATACATATATAGATAATCTCTTAGTGCATAAATTAATTTTGTGTGCTACAGTACATTTGTTCCTAGAATTTAAGATTCTCTTTATGTATTGTTGTGATGCGGATTCACTTAAAATACTTTTACTGTTAGAGGCACTATTTGACACACTATTTATACATATAGAATTGATAACGATAAAAGTTCATTTTCTATGAGAACTATTATGGGTACGCCAGGTTGACGCCAGCTAAGAATGTTTAGTTCAATATCTTTGGTACTTTAAGAGTATTGATTATGAAATTTTGTAAAGCCAGGGCACTATTTGCGAACTATTTTTGTGCGTCAATTTCGTTGCTTAAATATATGCCGTTCTTGGGGTCGGCCATGGGTACGCTAGCTTGACGTCATGGTAGCGTACACAGTAAAAATGGTCTTTATTTCTTAAATTAAAGAGGCACTATTTTTTTTATTTTTACACTAATTTGGCACTATTTACGCAGTATTTAATGGCATAACGAAAAACCGTATATTGATCGTGGGTACGCTAGCATCACGGACACAAGAAAATGACATTATTATTAATAAATATTCAGTTCCCATGATCGTGATTGTTCATAAATTTGCAATATAAATACTACAGAAGCGCATAAACGGTGAAAAGTAACGTAAGAAATCTTCATACAAAAAAGCGAGTGTGCTAATGACGACACGACTGAAGTGATTTTTTTTCCAATGATCTGAAAATCATAAACTTAACCTGAAGATTTGTTGATAGTAAAAAAAACCACCAAACCATCCGTAATCACCCTCACCAAGCACTAGATTCATGTATTTTGTGACGGGTAATGGTATCAATTCTGGCATGATTCTCTAAACCTAAACTTAAATTTGACAACAGTGTATCCTTGTTATTCTCTATACAGAATGAAAAGGAGAGACTGATGTTAAATTTAGATTTAAGTTTAGAGAATCACGCCAGAATTGGCACCATTGTTCATTGTTTACTGATGAGTCACCGATGAGACTAATCGTAACACATTACTTTACTACTTTACCCCCCAAGTCAAGTGTGCCTAAAGAAGTTTTACTTCAAAAATATTCAGCTCGCATTATCGTAATTGTTCATAAATATGTTATGCATTAGAAATGCTACAGAAGCGCGTGAACGGCGAAAATGAACGTAAGAAAACATTGTACAAAAAAAATATGCGATTTGGGCGTAGGCGTTGGCCCTTAGACACTTTTTAGGTGCTGGCAACACGCAAGTGGTGTCAAATCCTCAATCAAACTTCAAAGTCAAGGAAAAAAGATATAAAAAAAAAAAAAAAACTTCAAAGTCAAATTTCCAACGAATTTTGTGTTTTGTAAACATACAAGCTAATTGGACGTAGTTACGCGAAAACGTTCCAACCCACAAGTCACTCGAAAATGAGTTACCATAACCAGGGTACTATTTTTGACATATTACATCATGTGCACACAAAGATGCTAGTATTTTTAGGTTAGTTTCATCAATAAAGTTTAACCCAAATGTTCCAACCCACCATTATGCCAAGGACGTGTACTCAAAATAAAGTAAAAACATTACATGCATACTGAAACATATTGTTAAAAACTCTTAATAGAATAACATATCGTTATAATGTTCCACTTGTCTTGGAACATTATACTAAATTCATAAAACGCACATTTAATGGTTTCTTAAATGATCCATGTGGGTTGGAACGTTTTTGCAAAATCTTTATACATTTTTTATTTCTGCAAAAATGTTCCATGTAATTTGAAACCTTTTAGATTAATCCATACTGTTTTTTTAAGCTGCGAACACTGTTCTAAATAAATTGAAACCTTTTATTATAATATATTATTTTCTAATTTTTTGCTATAAACAATCCACATATACTTGATCCATTTTTGCTATTAAGTATGTTCTAGAGAAAAAGATATTTTTTACCAAAATAAATAACTATGGTATATTTGGACGTAGTAACGAGAAAATGATCCAACCCACAGCAACCCCAATTTGAGATAAACGCAATTTACACACTTTTTCCCTGTAATTATTTCAGGCAAATACTATTGGTTTAACTATGGAATGCCAAACTGATTATTGAATGATATGCATATTTTTTGTAAATACATAATACAAGGGGCATATAAATAGGTAAAACGAGTTTGAAATGTTTTTGCTAAATTAATTTTGTATGAACCTTGTTAAATAGCAATTATGCATAAACTTTCCAAAACGAATTTAAGTGTATTATTTTATAAAAATAAACCAAAAAGAAATATGTAAAATAATAAATAACAATGAGGAACATACAAAAACAACAAAAAAAATATTTGAAAATGTATTACAAAAAAATAGAACGTGATCTTTTGAGTTTAGAACCTATGCCAAAAATTTGCTGATATGGTTCCAAAAGTTATCAAAAACTTATATTATAAACATTCAATTTTCATCATCGTATTCTATGATCTCGAAGTCCGGAACTCCACCAAACCCATCAACATCATCAGTGCTTCTTCAGAACTTTGAAGCGTTCTATAAAATTGAAGGCAATCCTCGGGTATGTAGTGGTACATGGATTGTAAGTCCACTAATTTCGCTGGAGCAATCGGTTTGTCGTTAGGCCACAATAAGCAAAAATCAGATTCTTTTATGTATTGTAGTTCTCGTTTTATTCTTTTATCAATTTTCAACTCATTGAAATCGTCTTCCATCGTAGACCGCATAAAAATAGAAAAAATTATATCTTTATCCAACTTAATTTCTTTTGTATGTAGCCAACTCACTTTAGATGAGTCTGTAAACTTCTTCCTATTGATAATCTTCTTTTCCAGTTTAGTTGTACTATAAAATCAGTCTTTGTCATTTTGTAAACTTGAAGAGGTTTAACTTTTTTACTTAGTTCTACAATAGTGGTATCCATAGTGCATCTAATGATACTGGGCATTGTTATGTATTGGTAGAAGGAGAGGTAGGAAGAGGTGCACAGGAAGTGGATTGCCTTCTGTTCTGAAGAAGCACTGATGATGTTGATGGGTTTGGTGGAGTTCCGGACTTCGAGATCATAGAATACGATGATGAAAATTGAATGTTTATAATATAAGTTTTTGATAACTTTTGGAACCATATCAGCAAATTGGCATAGGTTCAAAGCTCAAAAGATCACGTTCTATTTTTTTTGTAATACATTTTCAAATTTTTGTTGTTTTTGTATGTTCCTCATTGTTATTTATTATTTTACATATTTATTTTAGATATATTTATAAAATAATACACTTAAATTCGTTCTGGAACGTTTATGCATAATTGCTATTTAACAAGGTTCATACAAAATTAAATTTAGCGAAAACGTTTCAAACTCGTTTTACCTATTTATATGCCCCTTGTATTATGTATTTACAAAAAATATGCATATCATTCAATAACCAATTTGGCATTCCACAGTAACACCAATAGTATTTGCCTGAAATAATTACAGGGAAAAAGTGTACCGCTAAAACACAAAATTGCGTTTATCTCAAAATGGGGTCACTGTGGGTTGGAACGTTTTCGCGTAACTACGTCCAATTCATCTCGGGCTTTTTCTCGATGAAGTGTTATAAAATTAAACAATGTCAGCCTATAAACAATTGAAAGACATCAGCAACGGCTTCGCAGCTGATCTGCAAACTTTATCCTCAGAGTTGTTTACAGTTAAAGTTGGTGATTCTTTCGATGAGGTTATCGACAAGAAACTACGGGATCTATCGTTGTATAGGTCGAAACTGAAGTTATTGCGTGCAAAACTTAATGCAAGTAAGTTGAAGGACTTATTTTGCAAATCGTACTTTTCTACCAGTGGTCAAATAAAAGCTTTTCTTCAGCACCATTCTGTAACTATCCTAAAGCCATTGTTTCTGACACGACAACCACAATTTGTAACATAAACTTGTCGTCCTCCTTACAAAATCGAATATTAAGAGAACTATTCTTAATATTGCAGAAAATCCGGAAATAACAGAGCAGGTTCGCAACGAACGCACAACGTTACAACTTTACGAAGAGACGGCGACTGCAAAGGTTTTAGAGCAGCAGATCGTGAAGTTTTTGACACAGTCACATTCTGTCAAGTCTCTCATCACGGCGCCCAGTAGTAAACTACAACCAGAATTTGTGGAAAGAAAAGAGTAAGGATGTTTGTTTTTTGGCTGTTTATTTTTACACCAAACTTAAGAGCTTCTTCAACTCATTTTAAAAATTTTAGGTGTCAAATTAGTTTGCACCAAACAGTACTTTAGGTGGTGTTGTGTTTCTGTTGGTGAGTAAGGTTCAGGGTAGGCAACAGTGCAAGTGATATTTCTGGTATCACACAAGAAGCTTCTATAGACTATGGAGGAAGAGGAGCTCGATGGCGCAAGTGGTTAGCGCGTTCGGCTGCGATCGTTGAAGTCAAGCATCTTTCGTAGTGGTCTGTCATTGGATGGGTGACCAAAAATTCACTATGTTGAGCTCCTCCGTGCTTCGGAAGGCATGTTAAGCCGTAGGTCCCGGCTGCATCAGCAGTCGTTAGCACCCACCAATCCGCACTGGGCCCGTGTGGTGGGTCATGGCCCAAACTTCCTATTCCATCCATAGGGGAGGCCTGTGCCCCAGCAGTGGGGATATTATAAGGCTGAGGATGAGTCTATGGTGGCCAATTATTCAGGCGGACCATACCAGGGTGGTCCGTGTGGAATTTTTTCAAGTAAAATTTTCTATAGATTCACACATCTAGCAGCTACATGCTTAAAAATGAAATATATACCCAATAGGGAATATGTTTGTTATATATTTTTTATTATTAATTACTTATATGCAGTTATTACTGCACCAAATCATATGTATGTTTCTTTGTCAACCTTTCAGTCAACACAAAAATTGCTTAAACTGTGCTCATTTAAATATTATAAATATACATGAACCGATATTTTCACAGGAAAATCATCCACTGCCTATCCCAGTATAGCTTTCAGGAATCAAAACTCCGTCAACTTGACTATATTTTGAGAGAAAAGGAAGGAGAATTAGATAGAGTAAGAGAGCAATGGGATAATGAACTTGGGGAGTTGAGAGACATGAGGGACGGTGTCGATGGCATCGCTGAGGTGGAACCAGGACCATTGTACAAGTAAGTACAAAATATTGGTTCTGTTTCTTTCGGAAAAATAAATAAAAGAGTGGGGCATATTACCTTTCTGCCAGTAGTCAACAATTTATTTGAATGCATTTTTTTTATAGGTAGGTAGGCAAAAGCACCATTCATTTATTAAGTAAGACGATATAGTGGGGAAGGGGGTCGAACATGTCTTATAAGGGTTCCGTACCTCAAAAGGAAGAAACGGAACCCTTGTAGGATCACATTGTTGCCCGTCCGTCCATCTGTCAAGACCGTTTTTCTCAGGAACGCATGGAGGTATTAAACTTGAATTCATATCTAATACTCAGGTCTACTGTCCCTTGGAGCTGTGAAAAAATCAAACTTCTAAGCCAAAGCAATCAAAAGATACTAAATGGTTGAATGCTGCAAATTTTCGAAACTCGCAAGGGAATCAAAACCTTACAAAAATTACAGGGTACTTCCCGTGAACTTAGAATCTTGATATTTGGTACGAAGTAACGTCTTATTGTACAAATAAAGTAAAAATTGCGAAAACCGTAAATTTTTAGTTACATCATATAATAAAAAAATATTTTTGTAAATTCAGGTTTGTACGGAACCCTCGGTGCGCGAGTCCGACTCGCACTTGGCAGGTTTTTTTTTACAAGGGGGTGGGAGGGAGTCTGAAGAAAGAAAAACATTTACTGGCCTTCACACCATTACCCTTATTCAACTCTATTTACCTATTTATTTGGGTAACGCTACACCCCACGATTTCATTTGTCTCTTCAATGACCTAGATTGATGAGGAGAGCAATGTGATGACTGGTACTTAATGTCTAGGATTATTTTTTAGTTTTAGTACATTTCTTCATATTTTCTTTCTTAATAAAACCGTTTGTCTTACATTTTTAGCCTAAGAAATGAAAGAGAAAATTCGACACGGCCATCAGGGCCGCGGTAGCATAATGGTCAGTGCATTGGCCCGGATAGCGAAGGGTGCGGGTTCGAGCCCCGTCTGCTGCCTGGTCCGCGTGGAAAAAATTTCTAGTAAAATTTACTTATTTTATATTTATATTTTTAGTAAACTCCGTATATTAGTGGACAAGATGGAGCTTATGAGATGGATGATATCCAAGCTGGTGACGTCACGAACAGGCCGATATGATTGGTTGACAGATCCTCATAAACGTCTGCGTGCCCTGAAGGTTGCCAGAGAAGATAACACTATGGAAAAGATATTGGAGAGCTGATTACATTTTTCTGTTAAAGGGTGGCAAGACTGGAACAAAACCTATAGATGATTGCGATATCAAGGAAATCACTCGCACCGTAGCCTAGCATCATTGGCGCTAGGGGGGGTCATATAGCCAGCTTTGGCGCCAGGGGGGGTCATATAGCCGTGGTATATTAAATATTGAAAGTACTTAAATAAAATCCCCCTGGGTTTGGTCCACCTGTACCCAGCCTAGGGGGGGGGGGGTCATGACCCCCATGACCCCCCCCCCTGGATCCGCCCTTGACTCAATCCCCTACCCCGTGGAGCCCTGCAACCTTACTCACCGACAGAAATACAACACCACCAAAAGATAGTTTTGTCTTAGAGCTTGTTCCCACTTGTCGAGTGTCGGATCCGTATATTAATCGGAGGTTCCAGTTCCAGTGGCAGTGCATTATATATGAAGCTATTCACACTTATCGGAAACCGATTTTGTGTCGGCTCCGACAAGAAGTGTCGGGTGTTTTGCCAGCCCTCTACGCCCGGAAAAAAATCGTGTCGGATCTCGCTCGCCTATGATTAAGAATGGCGCTGTCCATATTTGTCGGGTGTCGGGGCTGACTATCCTCCCCCGCTAACCCTTGTTACGTCCGTAACGCAACCCTTTTTCAGTACAAATACAGTCTCGTAAGTCCTGTATTTTGGTAGTTTATGTTCACTAATATTTGAGTCAGTAGATCGTTGAATGTTGATATTGACATCCTAAAATAATTGAAACGCTTAATTTCGTCACTCCTCAATTCTGTTATTAAGTTCTGAAATATACCCAAAATCAAATCTTTCCCTCAGGAATATGTGCACCCATGTAAATACATGGCTCTCTGTCTTTGTTTTCTTAAATTCGTCATGACCCCCATGACCCCCCCCCCCCCCTGGATCCGCCCTTGATCCGACACCCGACAAGTGGGAACCAGCTCTAAGGTGGAGGTTACTTCCCTAGACTGGCGTTCCAATTCGAGCGGATAATCCGCTGTAACTTACCTCCCTTGTGAAAGCTATGTCTTAACATGAATGTTCTATGTAAACCTTACACCCTTATCACAATATGTGGGCTTAAATTTGTCATTAGCATCTTGCGTGAGAGTGTTAGTGATTGGGTTTTGTATTTTCGTATTGTTGTTTAAAAAGACTTGTAGATTTATAAATCTACTATTTTATTAAAGTATAGTTTACTGTGTACTTTAATAAAATAAAAATAAATTGTATTGATTAAGATTCTGTCGTTTTATTTTTCATAATATCTGTATACAAGTGTTACTTTATTCAATAAGTTTAAAGTACAGTACGTGTGTTTTTTAATTATTTTCGATCTTTAATATAAAAATTAATCTCTGATGTGTAGCTAAGCGCAAATCTCGAGAAACGGCTGAACCGATTTTTTTTTTTAATATACCTTGAAGAACGAGGATAGTTCTTCCGCAGAGAAAAAATAAAAAAAAAACGCCTGAAAAAGTACATTAACAACATTTTTCTATACTCCCATACAAACAATTCGTAATAATTCTTAGTTAATTTGAACTTTAATACCATACCATAAATTTCAAATGTTAGTGGAGAGGTTCCAGGAAAGCAAAACAATTGAGTGACGTGATGTCTATAATAGAAGTTTGGAAAAGGCAAATATACCATTTTCAGTTTTTTTATAATTATATGAAGTCATTTTAGTCTAGTCTAGACAGCTACACCGAAGCGAAGCGAGGACGGGCCACTAGTTATTTATAAATTTCTTGCACAGTATCATTGGGACTTCACAACATCTTTATACAAGTGTAAGGTACTTTATTTAATAAAACAGTACTTATGTGTGTATTTTAATTATTTTCTATTGTTTTTAAATTTCTTGCACAGTATCATTTGAGACGAAGTAGGAAAAAAAAGAAAACTTAGTAGATATACAACAACTTCACTGGCTTACGGAATCAACCATTACTATATACTATTGTATTAAACTTTCTCTGAGATAAACAAAAAAACAAGATTTTAAATAGGTCAAATTTTATACACTTAAAAAAATATAACTACACTAGCTGACTCGGCGAACTTCGTACCGCCCAAAAGTAATAATTTGCAATAAATTAAAATTGCGACTATAATTTGAGATTTAAACTATCCTATCTCTCAAGTTGGATCGAACTGCACATGGTGTGCGAATTTTATTATAATCGGTTCAGTGGTTTAGGAGTCCATTGAGGACAAACATTGTGACACGAGATTTATATATATTAAGATATATTAGTGACATTTTTAGCTGTATTTTACTAGAAAAAACTCCACGCGGTCCAGGTAGCAGACTGGACTAGAACCCGCATTGACCGCTATCCGGGCGGATGCACTTGTGGGTTACCTACAATGCGAAGAGATGGCGTTGCCTTGTAGCCTAAGGAATACTAGAGGAAATTCGGCACGGCCGTTTGGGCTGTGGCAGCATAAATGGGATCGAATTGAGGAGGGTGCGGGTTCGAGTCCCGTCTGCTGACTGGTCCGCGCGGATTTTTTTTCTAGTAATTGTTTTTTCGATGTTAACATCTGGCAGTTAGATGCTTCAAAATAAAAAAATAACAATCAGTACCTTTAGCACGAACTTATATCGAATTCGTAACGTTTGCGAGTCCGAAATGTCATTGTCAAATGTGTACTATACCCCTAGCACGAACCATTATCGAATTCGAATAGACCGAAATTTCAATGTCAAATTTTATATGGAAACTTGAACAACAGCGGCACAAAGTACGTAACGAGAACTAAAAATCAGTACATATTTGACAATGACATTTCGGACTCGCATACGATACGAATTCGATATTGGTTCGTGTTAGGGGTACTGATTTTTAGTTCCCGTTACGTACTTTGTGGCGCTGCTGTTCAAGTTTCCATATAAAATTAGATATTGACATTTCGCACTCTCCAAACTTTGAACGAATTATAATACTACTAAATTGATGAGTAGGTAGTGATAAAGCAAATAATTTATGTTGAAATCAGAAATTTTACCACCAGTCTGTTTTTTTTTAAATTGTCTTTCTAGACATTAAAAAAAAAAAGGTTCTTAATTGGGGGTGTTTTAGTGAAATTTCTTATAATGTTTGGTTATTTTTAAAGTTAGCCTAAAATCCTACCTGAAGCCGCCTTTGATACAGCCAGAGGTAGAAACGTGAGCCGGGGGATAGAACGAAGAAAGATTTAAGAAGTAGAAACGAAAGAAGGCTTATCGAGTATAAAGAAAGAATAAGAAAAGGAATGGTGTGTTTTTTTAATTATTGCATGGGATGCTGACATGTTAGGCGGGCCCCGGCCCGACGAGTTAATGAGAGGAGAAGGGTCCTCATCAACCGGCCGGGCCGGGGCCGGGGCCCGCCCCATTATCACCAGTCTGATTACGCAGGCCATCTTTGCTGTCGATAAAAATGTTGATGAAACATTGGTTTATGCATTTACCTTTAGTCTCAAAGGGAGTTGGATGGAGTTACATATATTATTTCAATATATCAACTGACCTGTAGTACATTAATAACAGAACAAAATAACTTTACAATAATGGAAACAGTATACAATTTCAAATTAAACTAAGCAAGCAAGCACTTAAGAAAAAAAACCTAAAAAAATAATTATACACTAAGTTGTACTTTAACTTTGCAAGAAAACAAAATCTACGCATGTGTTATACGTAGATTTTGTTTTCTTACAAAGTTTGAATCAATAATAGCCCCTTTCAATACGAGTTGTCCCCTTTCAATCCAAGTTGACAACTTTCAATCCAAATTGTACACTTTCGATCCACTATTCCCCGGGCCACACGACACTTTCGATCCAGTCGACATAGCTGGATACACGAGTGTAAATAGCAGGCATACCGCTCTCAGCGCATTTTCGGCCAAAGGATGTGATTCCGATGATGTTGAAGATGCACTGGTTATCTCTAGAAGTCACTTGAAGAGGGGAACCTGAGTCACCCTGCGAATAAGAAGGAAAGAGGTCAATTGAGATTCCTCTCGCGTTTTTAAAACAAACAATGAGGCCTGGTTAAAAAATAATGGAATTAATGCCTGACTTTTGAAGACGCGCTCATAACTGTGACACAGTCCGATTATTAACGCTAGAGAATCGTGTTAGAATCTACACCAATAAAATACTGGTGTCGATGCTGGCATGATTCTCTAAACCTAAATTTAAATTTGACAACAGTGTAGGTATCCTTGGCATTCTCTATAAAGACTGAAAAGGAGGGACTGAAATTGTCTTTATTAAAATTTTTTTTGCCCATGCGCCACTTTTGTCCCTCACAGAAAAAAACCTGGATCCGCCCTTGCATTAATCTGTACAACTTATCATAAAATTGTTTTGAATACAGTAATAGTTAATTAATAGTATAATTATTGTAAACACTTTAAGCTGACATAGTGACTCAGCGACTAAAGCCTTTAAATAAAGATAAAAAAAACTTGTTCTAAAAAATAATAATCACAACGCGAGTTGAAAAGTGAGTTTGTTCAATTCAATTCAATATCGTTTATTCAGTCTATGCGAATGTCGAAAAGCTACGCCATCGGTTCGCAAATCTACGGCGGGAGACCTTGTACTGAGAAGAACCGGCAAGAAACTCAGCAAGGGCTGTTTTTTTCTCCCTGTATTCTATACAGAGTCGTCAAATTGAAAAATTACTTTAATATGAGGTAACTCATAAAGTTTCCATTACAAATGCAAATAATATAAAAATTATGACTATAAAATAAAAAAATATATAAAAAACTGGTTTAACAGAGTTTTGGGAATTTCTTACAGACAATAGTTCTTACAGACAATTACTGCAGATCTCGCCTAATCCAGAGTATCAACACCTCACTCACCTGGCACGTATCCTTCCCGCCTCTCAGTTCTCCGGCACACATCTGCGTGTCCCGGAACCCGGCCCAGTGCCTATTCCGGCTGGACAGCAGCAGCTGGTCGCACTGGGAGTTCTGCAGCAGCGACAGAGAAACTTTCTGCAGCTCCTTGGACGTCTGACGGGTCGCTATGTGCCAAAAAAATAATACCATGAGGTGGCGTTGCCAGATTTGTTTTTTTGACAAGTCAGGATTTAGGAACTTCTTCAGTGAAAAAAGCGGGATTCTTCCGTCAAAAGCGGGACTTAGTAAAAACATGTATATAATCAAAAGGTATTGAATATTTATCTTCATTATGGACACATATTTTTAGGGTTCCGTACCTACCTCGAAAGGAAAAAACGGAACCCTTATAGGATCACTTTGCTGTCCGTCCGTCCGTGCATCCGTCTGTCACCTTTTTCTCAGGAACGCGTGGAGGTATAAGCTGAAATTTATATCAAATACTCAGGTCTACTGTCCCTTGGAGCTGTGAAAAAATCACACCTCTAAGCCAACGCAATCAAAGGACACAGCCTTTTATGACCACCTCCGTGGCCGAGTGGTTTGTACACCAGGTTTCATGGTGTCGCCAACTCGAGAGGTCCTGGGTTCAAATCCCGGTGGGGGCAGATGTTTGTGTGATGAATACGAGCATTTGTACTCCAGTCATGGATGTTTAATATGTATTTTCTATATAAATATACTTATATATGAACAGTATATGTATTCTATCCGTTACCCTAGTATTCCATAACACAAGCCTTATAGTGCTTACTCTGGGGCTAGGCTAATTGGTGTATGTTGGAAATATTTATTTATTTAAATTTCCGGAGTCGCGGACACCTACTAGTCCACGATTAAAGTTTAAAGGAGATTGGTCAAATTGGCCTAAATGCAAATAAAATATTGACATATACAGTAATTCTTGGCGTAATTTATACTTTATTTTACAGTCATTAGATTTTAACGGCCACCTTTAAATAATATATTAATTTTAAAAAAGGACTTCTATTTTTACCGGTTTGGGCATATCTTTATAAGGTAAAAGCCTCTAAATAAACAAGATTATAAAAAAAAAAAAAAAAAAAAAAACATACGAATCATTTTTATTGGCTATGGGTGTAGTAACATTCACAAAGACTGATCGAGGTTGTTTATATAACATCAAAACAAATCTATTTTGGGAAAGATTGATAAATTATTTCGATGATATTTTAATTCAAAATGTAGATGATATGTAATATTAAACGCAACATAAAAGTACTTAAGTTGTTTTATTTCATTAATTTACCTTATCAGAATATTTAAGCTATGTCAGGAATATACATATTTCACACATTGATCAGAACTATCATGAACCTACGCAATATATTATTACATTAGAATTACCTTTTACCATTATAAACCTAATTATTACTAAGAAAATATCCTATTGGTTTTTATAAAATTATGATAACAGTTCCATGTTTCTCATAACATAGGTAAGCAGGTACCAGTTCCTTGACATGCATTTTGTTAGTGTAATTAGTGTTAGACACTTGTCAAATGAAACAAGATTGCTTCTGAAAGTCGCAATGGCATAATCATGATTTTAAAACTTACTCTTGTGCATTAATTTTAAAAACAGGCAATTATCTGTTATTTTACATGCTCTATATACCTGAATCTAATACATAATATCGGTACTTGGCTTGATTGCCCTATTTTCCTATATAAGTTATTTGGTTTTTATTATTCTAATACCTATGTGCCTATTTGCAAACATAACCTCAAAATCATTCAGTGTATATGGTTTATAGAAGTTCTCAGGAGTGGCCGTCGATAATATTCGTTTCTACGGTAATTTATATATAATTTCGAATCTAGGAAACAATTTTTCATGGTTATTGGTTTTTAGGCCAAACATGTATGGAAGCTGAGCAATCTCCTTTATTTACCTGTATCAGTGACTCCCCAGCCGGTTGCAAGGGCTTTCCTGAGCCCACTCATGTCATTTCTACTCCAAAGACATGCCGGCCTGATGGTAGCTGTACAACAGAAAATGTAGGTAAAATTAGTATTTTACAAGTCATGTCTACTTTTATGAGGTAATTTTTATATGTATAGATTGAGTTAGGTATTTAATATACATATAATAAAATGGTAGGAAAGTCAAAACTGTATATTGAATATTTTTTTAAAAGAATACTTGGGGTGTGATCTACAATCGATACCGAAGCCAAAACAATAGTTTTTAGAATTTTTGTTTGTTTGTCTGTATGTATGTCCACGATAAACTCAAAAAGTACTGCATGGATTTACTTGAAATTTGGCACGGATATTATTAAGAAGTCGGGTCAACATATAGGCTACATATTATCACGTTATCACCTACGGGAAACGCGCAGTGAACCCTTTTGCGGTCAAAAAGTATGTGCAAATAACTAACTCCATGCGTACGAAGTCGCGGACGGCGAAATTTTAGAGAATTTTGATTCTTTATTGAGGAGGAAGTAATAATAATTCATTAACAGTAATCTTGCAGTAACCATTATTTATTCTACTAAAACAAAATTGTGCGCTATTCTCATACTATACTCGACGTTGAAATCGTCGACGATATTGCCTAATTTCTGTTAGGCTTCGAAGATAGAGGATTAGCTACTTATATGTAGGACAAGTCTATACTTGTACATCTATGATGTTCACCTCCGGTCATTTTTTGGGGGGGCAATTTCTAGATACTTATTTTATACAAAAAGGTGTAAATATTTGTGTGTACCTGAGAAAGTGACGTCAGATGCCAGTTCAAAGAGGGCTATATCATTGTATTTCCCCGGCGGCTTATAATCAGGATGTGAGATGGTCTTCTTGATCGGCACCTGTGAAATAATTATTGTATTAGTTTAAATCAGTCGAAGGTAATTTGAATCAAGGAAATCTGTGTATTTTAATAGTTTGTTGTTAAATCGCTGTATCATATCGTGTAGCGGTTACCTATCATAGGCTTTTAAATATAGCGCAGGTATTATCGTATTTCGTATGAGGTTAATGTATCTATCTGTTACGTACTATTATCTTTTCTGTAATAATTATTATCTCATTCTTCATCTTATGCTATCATTTCTGTTTTATTATATTCTTCTCATATTTAATGATATCATAATATCAATTATGCTAACCTTACCTTACGATTCCTCCTACCTATTTTATGTCATTGGTATAAAGCTGTCCTACAACATGCAGTGTTTTCGAAATGTATGTTTATTTCAGCAGTTACATTGACAGATGCGAATGCGATGCAAAGTGTTTTAACTTAAAGCTGCTGACCGCTGCAGGTGAAATCCTCCTATTTTGAGTTATTGTCACCTATCTTAGGACAGTATCCTCTATTAACCTATGTTAAGTTCTCCTTGCTTAAGTTATCCTACTATCCCTACTATGTTATCCTCTTGTCTGTGAGGTATTTCAGGTGAACTAATGTGCTGGCCGTTGTGATGGCTCAATTCAGCTACCTAGTCAAATAATTTATACTAATAGAGTAAAATAGGTTCTACTGTTACCTCAATAGGATTTGCGCCATCGATGACACTGGGGTCTATATTCTGGTCTCCTAGCCTCACGATGGAGGGCACAGGGTTCTGAGCGCGAGGGTTCTGGGTGCAGTGGCCTGCAGTCAGCACATACTTCGAGCTGATGAGACTACCGCCGCAGTTGAAGTCGTAGCCACCTTCGAAGTTCGCCCAGCCTATTGCTGCCTAGTGATATAATGATAATAATATATGTATATATATTCATTTTGGTAAAGCAGTCTAGTCAAGTTTCCATATTACTTGTAGAGTGTCATTAACTGATGCAGTAAAGGCGTAGCCTAGAGTAGCCTCACTCTGGTATCTTGAATGGTATAATATATATTGGATTTCCAGTCAAATTGGAGTCCCTGTCTGGGGAAGTAACCTATCATTTATCAGAAGACTGCAGCACAACAAGGTTTTGTTTTGTTATGAATTAACTTCTGGTTAGAGGAATTGGGTTAAGGTGGTATGATGAGGGTAGCTGAAGGAACACATTTTTCTTCCGTGACGGATGTCACTAAGATATTTAACATCAGATTAGAGTCATTGTTCCGTTACACTACTATCCCTTCCATAACACAAGCATTACTGTGCTTACTTTGGAGCTAAAGTGTGAGCGCAAAATGTTTTTATTGTACAGAGCTCATATGAAAAAAAATATATAAAGAAACTCACCATATGTGGGAATTCACCCTGGTTAGCGTTTTCCCCGCCGACGATCAGTTCTACGCCGGTGTAGTCACACTTGGCGGCCGAGATTGACATAGTCTCAGGGTCTGGCAGGAGAGGAATGAAGTCCACCTTCTCTACCACCCCTCGGCTGTACTCTTCACATTCTGAAGTTAAACATAAATATTACCATTTGGAAATCGCAGAAACAACGCGCAAAGGCAGCTCTACTAATAGTCAGAAACTATCTTTTACGTCCTTTACAATAATAATTGTACATTTAACGAAGAAGATACTATATACTACTTATTGAGTTGAAGAAGGAACTTGGGCACTCAGATACTTACAAATTTGAGTACTACAAAGTAAATTGTTACAGAGCAGCAGCTAGTGAGCACGCGTGGTAATCTAGGGTAATATTGAGGAAATGCAGTAGATATTAATGTTAAGATTCATGTGCGGGATCTTGTTTCTAGCGTTTTCTTTGTGCTTCTGTGTATTTGTTTTAATACTAAAACTTGCTAGCTAGCAACTTGACCACAAAAGATAGTCGTCGTTATATTTTTTGGCAATATTGACAAAGATGCCATATTTGGCACAGGATGTTAGGTAAGATGATTTTCGAAAACAACAGCAACAGTTTATCAGGTTGCCACTTGTCAGTAATTATTCTATTTTGTTTTTTTTAACAGTTTCCAGAATGTCACCCGTCCATTTACAGACTTTTTGTTCTCTCTGCAAGTTAAAGAAAGCAATTGATTCTTTCTACGTTTTCCTCAACTCTATCCTAATGTTTTCATTACTTTATTTTGTCAGTAAAGCTAACTTTTTGGCTGATCCAGTCATTATAATTATATTCAAACTTGATTTATGTCAGAACTTATCAACAATTAAGTGAGAGCCTATACTTTGCTATTTATAGTTATTATACAAAAACGTAGATTTTTATGTTTAATTAAAGAAAACAAGAAATGTCATTGTCTAAGTTTATTAATAAAGCAAATAATAGATAACTATCAAAAAATTGTATAAGTAAAATGATAAAATCGGTTAGTATTATAAGATTATATGCATAAATAAAATAACAGTTACTAAGAGATTTTCCATTGAATAAATCTGAAACCCTAGTGGCGAGGCAATGTAACCGAATCCATCTATACAGTACTATAGTCAGTATAGATAAATCTATTCAAAAAGAAAATATTTTTAACACCTAATAGTATAACAGTTTAAAATATTATCTGCTATTAACATACATCTTATTATTTTAATTATTAAATGCAATGAATGTGGAAAATACATGGAACATCGTTTTAGTTGCTAGAAATGTACTACTAATACCGCAATGTTACCTTATTTTTCTATAGTTCACAAATACCTTGACAAGGAAATAATATCGGTATGATTAATCCATTCAAAGGGTTTTAAAAATTTATAATTTAAAAAACACTCTTTCCTTAACATAATAAATGGCACTTTCACATCTTATAATTATCCAAATCGCACTAATATTGTTTAATACTTTTTATTAGTGTCAGATCTTTGTAATTGAAATACCAAAATTCAATAATTAATACGGATGACCATCGTTTTCTAGAATCTAGAATAAGCGAAAAATACCTACAATGTATCGTTAGTTTTTTAATCCCATATAATCTAAGGAAATATTCATGTGAATGGTCATGTTACGCTAAATTTTCAATAATAACCCAACGTTATTCTGCCTAAAAGCACGCGTTTTTCTGTCTTGAATTCACTTTGTTGAATCAGGATTGTTAACTGTCAGTTTTAATTGAAGAATCGGTGTGCTGGTATCACTGGTCTTTTTCTCGTCTATATTTAACACGTTTTCTTGCGTCGACCGAATAAGGTTTCGCAGCGTTGTCGGCATCGGTGAATAAACATTTTGATTACACTCCGGTTTCGTAGTCCAATCGAGATGCTCTTTCGTTAAAGTACCCATTTCGGCTTGGAAAAGTATGTCATTTATTATTTTTTCCGCGTATCTCCTTTGTCCGGCTAGTAGTTTTTTGAGCTTCAATGCCCAAAGTCTTGTAACTAAATCTTCTTCACTCTCGTAGGTATTACGGTCAGGTAATGGCGAGTAATCTCGATCTTTGATATCTCTGTCTTCTAATTGACTTGGCTGTGGGGTTACAATACCATGTTGATATGCGTCTTGGGGGGCGGTGTCTTCAATTGCGTAATCGTGGACGTAGGGCTGAAATTAAAAGAAGAGAAAACAGTTGATAAAAATTATATGTATTTTACCTCATTTGATATTGATTGATGAGTAAATAAAATTATAATACATGCACACACGAGAGCTCATATTTTTGCTCATGTGGTATATAAATACTGTTTTATTGAATTGGAGCTAACATCCTCGGTTACATTGGCAAAAAGTCGGTACAAAATATTATTTTAATTTGTACATTGTGTACTACAACAGTTTGAACAGCATGTGGTAAAAAGCGGACGTGTCGTGCAACGTTGAGCTCGACGTTGAAAGCAATTAGAGAATAGTATGGTTAATGAGTTCTTTGTACGGCTAATACAATACGGTATAGTTACAATATAAAACTGTAGTTTTTCGTGTCTAAAGATTGATTACCTCTATATCTTGCTTTAACTATCTTTGAAGTTTTTAGGTTTCAATTAATATTATCATAGAGGAAAGAGTGTACGCCTTCCTTAAAGGCATTTGTGCTGCTCCTGGTGCTGCAGCTGTTGTGAGAGCGACGGTCATCACTGAGAGACTGTGAGAAGGTGAGGCGTCTGCTCGTATGCCCCCTATAAATAATATATAAGAAATGAAAAGCAAATAAAAAAATTACCTCCACTGGTGGCTTGGTCGAAGTCTCTTTGTCATCTGAAAATAAAAAACCAACCATTTACTAATTTTTGTAAAATAATAAATGTGGACTACTTATTGTTTACCATAGCTGCCTTTGCAAACGTGGGTCTAAAATGTCGTAGGTATACAACTTTTGGAATTTAATTTAGTTGAATAGTGTTTATTTAATGTAATATAAAATAAACTCCGTATAATTAAGTGTGTTAAAATGTAGGCAAGTATATAAAGTAAGTGTGTTTCTGTAATGGTTATTTAAAAAATATTTATTAAATTTATAATTTATTTATTAATAACGTAATATCGCTTACCCCATACATATTTTTTTATCATAGTGTTGGTAATGTATGTAAAATCACGTCACTTAAATTCAGCACTGAATGTTTGAATCACATTTGGGTTTATTTGTGTGGGTTTTTAGGATACAAGTATTATGTAATAAAATTATTATTCATAAAAAACGTGTGTTTCATTATAATGAAGTTTATGTTTTTAGATGATTGCACTTTATATCGCTTAGCATCACCACAAAGGGAACTAAAACCAATGACATAAAACGAGAATGTTGATGAACATTTTGGTTTTGTTTTATTCATAACTAGCTTTTGTCTGCGACTTTGTACTTCTTAACTTTAATTTCACATAATTTCCGTAAAAACTTTCTAAAAACTCCTAAAAACCTTATTATTTTTAGTAAATTGGTAAAATCGTTCTCAAGTTATGGTGTGATCAAAACTTATAAGGAATCGTGTGTATAAAAAAGATAAAAAAAGTACCTGATTGAGAAAAGTCAATTAACTTTTCCTTTTAAGCTGATGCTGTCACTTTCTTTGAGATACGAATAAAATGATGACAACACGTGACTTGATGAAACATTAAATTAATAGGCCGTTTCTGAGTATGGCCTGGGGCATATTTTAAAACCTAGTGCCCCGGGCCACTTTGTATTTGCAATAGAATTTTAAATTAAAATAAAGGTCATTAACAAAACAGACTTTGAATGGCTTCTATCACCCCTTGGTTTGTCGCACAGCTCTTGCAGTCGGCTTCCGCAGCCTGTCGCCTTGGGCTATGGCCCTCTTGGTAGGGCCAAGAGGGACGCGGTCAATTGGAAACAGGTGCCGCATATCAACCACACTCCCGGCGCGCATTGTGGGGACCACAGTCCTAGCTGACCGGTGTAGGATTGTCTGATTTTAACCGGTCTAGTAGAGCTCACTTCATCGAGCTAAAAAGTTGGATGAAGTGAATGGGGAGGAGTCTTGGACTCCTTCATGCTCACCCAGTGACTGAAGGATGCGATAAGAAATTCCCAGACGTTATATTAAAGATAAGGGCTAAGTGGGAGAAAATACGCCCCTGAGTACGACTGTCTCTACTCTCAACTAGAAAGATAAAGAAACTCTGGTGGCCTTCAAACTATATATTTATATATGTTTTTTACAGTACTCACTTCTTTCACTCACTCTTCTACTGTCTGACTGTTTGTTCGACGCGGAACCCCATACTGGTCTGTAAATAAATAAAAATATTTTGATGTTTCTATTTTTAGACATAATAATTTTCTTAGTAATCAATTAAGCGAAACTATATACTAAATACTATACTATATACATATAAGTAGCAGATGTAATGCAAGTCGAAAATAGTAAATGATAAAGATAGAATCATACACAGATAGGCGCCTACAGACAACCCCGGGATAATTTAGGCAATATTGAGATTTCACCCCGGATATCTCAAAATGTTATTTGTAATAGAAAGAAAGAAAGAAACGTCATAAATAAAGATATCTGTGCATTTATACTGTTGAAACTTGTTATAGTTAATATTTACTCTTTTTGTCATTTCAACAACTAGTTTGCGATATAAACTACACTTATTGGTATATGTAGCGGCAAACTTCTTGAGAAAACCCACAGACAGATAAACTTGCGCAGTAGACGTTTTTGTATGTAAAATTAAACTATATATATATATATGTTCCTTGTATAGAGTCGTTGCTTAAGAAGTTTGGAAGGGTGTATACCAAGATTAATCTCACTCACCTCATCGGCTTTGCGTCCGCTGTTTGTAGGATGTTTGAGCCATCCCTACAGCAGACTAGGGTGGTGCCAAACGCGCTGTAGGTGCAAAACGTGGGTCTTATACCGTTTTGTCTGTGAACATAGATAAATATCAGAAGAGCACAATCAGAGAACACTTTTTAAAAGGATTATTATATAATAACTAGCTGTCCCAACGAACTTCGTACCGCCATAAAAAAACTAGGGGTTAGTGGTAGAAGAGGGAAAAAATAAAAACAAAAAAATTGTCCAAAATAAAAAAATAAGGGTTTAAATAAAAGGACGACCCTTAACATTTAGGGGATGAAAAATAGATGTTTTCCGATTCTCAGATCCAGTAAATATGCATATAAAATTTCACGAAAAGTGGTCAAACCGTTTAGGAGTAGTTCAATTATACACACACGAGAATTTTATATATTAGATTAATCCCTATTTTCTTTGGTCACACCATAAGTTACAAGGAATTTACCAAATTCATCCCGCTTTTTTTAAAGTCTGTAGAAGGTTCTTACAGAAATAAGTTATGATATTTGAGTGAAACTAAAGTTGTGTTAACTTTGAAGGCGAATTCGAGGTTGAAAGCTAGTAATGGATGAATGATAAAAAATTCGTCACAGATTTAGATTAACTGCGTCACGTAATAACAGTTTTCAAAAAAAAAATATTACATGCGCCATGCAACCTACATCTTCGACGACGAACACAGCGGTGACTGCATCGTCGGTCGAAACTAAAATGTTGAAATTTTACTTGTATTCTTTGCATGTTTTTTACTTTGTATAAAATAATATATTGTCTTATTTCTCTACCTAACTTCTATCAATATAAAATCCAATATTTTAGTACCTAAGTAATTCCTACTACATTAGGTACATTTGTAACTTGTTTCGAAAGCTTAATAAATGCAAACATCAATTTTATGACGTTCGAAGTTTTTACAAATATCATTTGAGTTTTTGATGTTGGTATGTTATCTATCTAAAATACTGTACTGTACTGTCTCTTAAGCATGATGTGGCTACCTTCAATAGAATTTTGCATTTTGTATGTATCACTATAATGTTTAAAAATAAGATTTAATGTAACTTTCTCTGGTGGTCCTAATAAATAATAAATAAATAAAAAAAAGTCATGCTATAGGTAATATTAATATAGCATAGCAAACTTCAATTGAATTCCCTACAATAAATAAATAAAAACGCTATTAAAAAATATTACTTTTCTTATCTGAGACACTAGAAAAACCCAGTGATCAAGTCACTTCGGCACGTAGGCTGTTGACATACAATTTTTTCCTGCTTAGAACCATTAGAGCATCATATACCTGCCTACACTATCGAGGAGCTCGATGGCGCAAGTGGTTAGCGCGTTCGGCTGCGATCGTTGAAGTTAAGCAACTTTCGCAGTGGTCGGTCATTGGATGGGTGACCAAAAATCTTCTATCTCGAGTTCCTCCGTGTTTCGGAAGGCACGTTAATCCGTTGGTCCCGGCTGCATCGGTAGTCGTTAGAACCCGCCAATCCGCACTGGGCTCGCGTGGTGGGTCATGGCCCAATCTCCCTATTCCATCCATAGGGAAGGCCTATGCCCCAGCAGTGGGGATATTAATGTGCTGATGATGATGATGATGACACTTACCTAGGTATAATCACAGAATCTGTGGATATACATAATGTTCACAAGGCTAGGTGCGTAGTGAAAATACCATTTTCTGGTGGTGGGGATATTGTTTCTATCGGATTATAGAAACCATAAATATAAATTTTATTACATTTTTATTTTCAATAACGAAGAAATGGGGGGCTGTCCAAGTTCTCATATTTAGACATTTATTTTATAGCCATATAGGCAAATGACTCTACCCTACCTGATGTTAAGTGGTGATAGAGTCCAAACGCGAAGATAGCTGGTACAGCAGTTATTTACATTATAAACTGCCACACCAACCATCCACACCTTATCGGCCTGCAAAAATGCTTCTTTATACCTCTCTTAAAGGACGTCAGATTGTAGGAAGCAGGGATTACGTGCGCGGGCAAAGAATTCCACTTGCGAATAGTACGACAAAGAAATGAGTCGCCAAATTTCTTTGTTCGCGTAGGAATAGTGGCCACAGTGTGTTTTTGTTACGGGGTGTATCTCAAAATCTAAACTAACTCCTTTAAGCTGCATTTAAATAACAAGTATTGAAAACGGTGATTCATATAATATACTTTGCAAGTTGTGATGAAAAGGCTGGACCAGTTTATCGCCTAGCCTCCATCCGCCAAGTCGGTACCTTTCATAAAGGAACTTCGATACAATAATTACAGAATATTAGTAATCTCACTATTTTCCTCCATGGCTCGTCATAATTTTGACAAAAACAAAAATTTTATGACCCGCCATGGCATGACTATAATTTATCAAACAATTAAATTACAAATTCGTTCTGATCTATAAAAAAAAGGTATTTGAATTCGCCCACAATTTAACGTTCTGAGTTGTGACAAAAAAAATACATTGATAACTGAAAAGGTTAGGAACAAAGAGTGTCATTTACATATTTTGCTCTATTCGTTTTTTTTTATTTTAATCGGCTCAAAATGTTATAAATTCATCTGTAACTCCCAAGATTTTGTTCGAAAAGTCAGTAGTTTCATAGATAAATCGATGTGAACTACTGCTTCCGGAACAAAAAGTTACATTTTTATTTAATCACAGTGATTATTAATATCTACTTGAATTCAAGTGACACATTCTTAAGAATTTGAAGTCTTTAGTCGGTTCAAACTAGGAACTAGATTGTGGAGAATTATATGTAGGTACATATAAGGAATAAAAATGTTTTGTGTGAATCTATTTTTATTTTCATACTGAATGTTTGATTTTTAGACAGTGGGTTTCAAAAGGTGAAATTTTACAAAATATTTAAATCAAATAGTGACATTTGCATGCTATTGGATCAAAGGGTGTCATTTGATATGTATTTTTTTTCAAGTTTCAAACCCAGCAAGATAACCTTATAATACATTAAATTTTATACAATAATTGACACATAAATGGTTAATAAAAAACAATAAAAGTTGCTTAAATCAACTTGAATATCTATTTTCTCAATTTACTCAAAAATGATAAAAACTGTAAATGGCACTTTTTGTTCCTAACCTCCTCAGCTGTTTTAACCTACTTAAAAAAGGTTCTATATTCGTAGTGTATACGTTTGTTTCTTGCTTGTTTGTGTGCTGTGTATTTTCAGGGTTAATTTCGTGAAATGTTAACCGATTTTCAAATTATTATTGAAGTGAAAACTTCTTTAGCGGCGTTGTACACTTTTTCTTGTATGGGTGAAAAATGTTAAACTCGCGTCAGGTTAAACACGTGGGCTGATCGCATCATGACACAATAAAATTGTAAAGGTTGTTGACTTTCAATATATTGGACGAAACATAGTAATATTTTATTTTACCGTATTATAATAATAAGTCTCTATCTAGGACGTCAGCGTGGCAGCTTTATTGCGAAGAAAATGCATTTTTTTACAATAGATGTCGCTAGGTGCGCTTAAATGTGATTCATGTATATTGATTTTTCTGAGAGATAAACTTTTTTAATGTAATATTAATTGTCATGTTTGTGTACGATAGCGCAATAAATAGATATTGTATTCTACCACATACATGATAGTAGTTTTATACTGATAATCAAAACAATTCGTGCAAAATTATTCGCAATCCATACACACACACACACACACACATATATATATATATATATATAAACATAATATTAGTTGTGACGCTTATTTCATTCAATCTTTTCCAAAAAACATCCATTTATACCCCGTCCGAAAAAAGTTCCACTTTTTTCCTAAAAAACCGTGTAAAGCTATAAAGCGGACGGATTACGTCGATACGGATTTGCATGCAATTTAGCACACATATAGTTTATTATTGAGAATTGTAGGTTCTTCTGAGATTCTCAAAAAGCTAACTAGGTATAAACCGGTCGAATTCACCGGCGAGGGAGCTAGTGCATTTATATCGAGTAAATGTATTAGTATCTGTATGTATGTCTGACAGCCTGACTTACTGGAAATCTCTCCTGGCAGACTCGCAGGTGTCGGCTGAAGTGCATCTACCCACAGTGTTCGTGAACTGGTCTACGCAGCTATCGCCATCTAGTAATGAAGAGAGTAAACTTATTTTAATATTATACTTTCAGTTTAGAAAAAAATTAAAGAAAAATTTATTAGAATAAACTATAAAAATTATAAAAATATATTTTCAGTTTTTTATATTCTTATTTTAAGCATTTAACTGCTAGATGTGTAAATCAAAAATACTTTTATTTAAAACGTATCTCTTTGACAAGTTAATAATCGGATGTATCTCCTGGCGAGCCTGGAAAATATTCGAAACGTTCAGGATGGACGAATAATTACTCTATAATAATCATTCTATTAAATTAGCCAATAATTAGCCAAGCTAAATAAGCCAATAATAAGCCATTTAAATTTTATTAGAAAGATTAAAAGATATTTGTTTCTTAGGTTTTCACGCACATCACTCATTAAATTAAACTAGTTTTTACGGGTTAATGCACGAAACTTTATTTATTTATTGACGTTTCGCAGCCTTTTCAGGTCTGCATCGTCAGAATAATGATTTTTTATTTAAAATTGTCGAGCTACCTTCGAAAGACTTATATTGAGCGTTCGGTTATTTCATTGGAAGATTTTTAAAATTTTATTGTCTATGTATGAATTTATTATTTAATTTACTTAATAAAGTATTTTATTTAAAATTCTTGTTTGTAATTTTGAGTTTATTTATTTATTTGACCCTAACTACCGTAAACTACCACCGATTCCAAAATTGGGAGACCTTCCTGAGAAGAAACGGCGAAACAAACTCAAGAGAGGCTTTCTATCTCCTTCTTATGTTAAATTATGCAAACAAAAAGAACTAATAGTATCTGATGGTCTTGCAGTGTGTGCTTGGGGTTGGGATTTTATCTCCTGTATAATAGGTTCCCAAGCTGGTGGTATATACCAACCATCGTCCCTATTGAAATTTGGATATTTTTTAATCTCAATAGCCTCGCGCATCATTCGAGGAACGAACCGCCGCTCAGCTGCAAGGATCTGTGGTCTATCAAATCTAATGTAGTGGTTTGGTCCCCCTAATGCATGCATTGATGAGATGCAGGGACGATGGTTGGTATATACCACCAGCTTGGGAACCTATTATACAGGAGATAAAATCCCAACCCCAAGCACACACTGCAAGACCATCAGATACTATTAGTTCTTTTTGTTTGCATAATTTAACATAAGAAGGAGATAGAAAGCCTCTCTTGAGTTTGTTTCGCCGTTTCTTCTAAACTACCACCGGTTCCAAAATTGGGAGACCTTCCTCTCCCAATTTTGGAACCGGTGGTAGTTTACGGTAGTTAGGGTCAAATAAATAAATAAACTCAAAATTACAAACAAGAATTTTAAATAAAATTATTTATTAAGTAAATTAAATAATAAATTCATACATAGACAATAAAATTTTAAAAATCTTATAATGAAATAACCGAACCCTCAATATAAGTCTTTCGAAGGTAGCTCGACAATTTTAAATAAAAAATCATTATTCTGACGATGCAGACCTGAAAAGGCTGCGAAACGTCAATAAATAAATAAAGTTTCGTGCATTAACCCGTAAAAACTAGTTTTATTTAAGATTAAAAGATTAAGAAGAAGATTAGTACGAGTTTTACAATTACGAAAACTATGATAGTTTTCGTGAGCTCGCACTCGTACTAAGGGAACTGATTTTATTGATTTCGTTTCAATACAAATAAAAAGTGTTTAAATTCTATCATAAAATCATTTGCGTCTTCTTAAATTTTAAGTATATTTGGTTACTTTTCACCAAAATGGACACAGAATTATATTTCATAATTAAGAAAACTATGATAGTTTTCGTGAGCTCAAACTCGTACTAAGGGTACTGAAAGGAAACAAGTAAACCTTTTTTTAACTTCTGATTTATTTACCAGCAAATCCGCTAACGAAATGTAGTACTATGGAGTTCTACCCAGAATGGATAGAACCTGGGGACGTGCTTATTAATTAAAAGATACTGGTAGAGATAAGTTATTTATTTCATTCAGGCTAATATAAAGAATTTTATCTAAATACGAGAGGTTTTCTTGGTGCCTGAAGATCTAATAATGAATGGAACCTTCTATCAAAAGACAGACGATTCCTTATTTCAAATCTTAAAATCATGACATTAACTTTTTAATATAACTGCCAACCGTAGGCATTGCAAAAGCAAAGAGTTTACCTAAACAAGGAGGTTGTAACATCACGGACGTTACAGTACCTACCTACCTATTATGCAATGGATTGTAAAACGGGGACGGGGAAGGTATTAAAAATACCTTTAAGACAGTATGTACATCCCGTAAAAAAAAATATTTAGTTCAAAATTTACTGAGAACCAAAATAAAATAGGTATTTTAATGGTTTCCGTGTACATATTATTGTTACCTAATAAAATTAAATAAGCACTACATACAATTACTAAATATCATTATTTTCATTGCTCTTTTTCGTTTTCCAGGAGCTCGATGGCGCAGGTGGCTAGCGTGTTCGGCTGCGATCGTTGAAATTAAGCAACTTTCGCAGTGGTCGGTCATTGGAGGGTAACCAAAAATCTTTATCTCGAGTTCCTCCGCGCTTCAGAAGGCACCTGAAGTCGTTGGTCCCGGCTGCATCTATAGTCGTCAGCACCCGCCAATCCCAATCAATCCCGGTCATCATAAATCAGAAATCAATATATCTTTATTCAAATTGGATGTATAGTACAACACTTCTGAATCGTCCAAACATTTATTTCCCTACCACTCGTTATTGGACATATTTTTTAGCTGCGGAGAAAGACGAGCGAAAAAAACTCCACAACATTAAAAACATAATGTATCAACATTTACAAATCATATGTTGTTAAAACGTCAATACAATCATGATTTATTTAATATAGAAAACCTGTTGGAATGATTGGAACAGTTCAAACCCAAGCATTTTTGACTGTAATATAATCAGACACTTTGTAATAAGCTTTTTTAGTAAGTGCTTTTTTTATACTATCTTTGAATTTATTTATGGTTAACTCTTGGATATTGCTTGGGACTTTATTGTATAAGTGAACACAAAGACCTTTATATGATTTGGTGAAGCCTAGTAACAGGTAAAGATAGTTTATTTTTGTTTCTTGTATTAAGTGTGTGAATAACACTGTTTTTAAGAAACAAATTAATATTTTCTCCTACAAGTCATGGCCCTATCACCATAGGGAAGGTCTGTACCCCAGCAGTAGAGACATTAATAGGCTGATGATGATTATTTTCATCAACACTCAACAAAACAGTAAGCTGGTTAAATTTTTAAGCATTTAACTGCTAGTTTTATGAATTAAATTATTTTTTTACTAGAAAATAATCCACTCGATTTTCAGGTTTCAAAACAGCAAGAATAATTAATATTTTTGCCAAGTTGTATAACAAGCATGAATAATAAGTTTCACAGTGCGATTAGGTCGCTTGTTTGGTAATTACCAACCACCTACCTAAAGTGCGTGCTAATTAATTTATATAATAGCTAGATATTTTACCTTTTGTCTGAGATTTTCCGTAAGCAATGACTGCAAGGATGATTAAGATACGGCGATGCATCTTGCGATACAAAAGTCACGATTTTCTGTAACAAAAAAAATACATTGAAGCTCTTTGTCAATGAGGGCTATCGTTTTTTGTCTCACCAGATGGCGCCACTGTTGAGTGAGGTCCTGAAGTGTAACTTTTAAAGTTAGTAAACACGCTTGTGATGTCAAAGTTTACATTTTAATACAAAAGAATCGTATCTTAAACATAATCGCCCATGCCACAGTGTTGCGCAGTCCCGTTTTGTTCGGAAAAAAGAAAGACAATATTTTTTCTTAGCTCCGCTTTTAAATAACTGACAATCATTGACACGTAACTATATTTGCCATAATAAGTCTGATTTATTACCAAATATTCACAACTCACAATTTTAATTAAAAAAAAAACCCGCCTAGTCAACCCGCAAGCTATAACATTTGACATTTCGGAGACCTCACGCAACACAAGCGCCTCTAGCGGCGGTTTCAGACGCGATAGCCCTCATTGCTGTGCACGTTTCCAGTGATTACCTACGAGTACTAGCCTTGCCGAGCGATCTTTTTCCACCTTACGCCGATTAAAATCATATCTTCGCAACAGGATGAGCGATGAGTGTTTAAACAGATTGGCTTTAATGCATATCCATCAACATGTAACGGCAAAAATGGACGCTAATGAAGTGCTGGATATATCTTTAACAGGAAACATAGACGAAAACTGCCTTAATTAAACATTTAATTTTTCTATTGTATTGACAATTTCAGAAACCCTATACATACTTCAATTGTTGATGTTTTTTGCCCATGCGCCACTTGTGCCTAGGGTTGCCACCTTTTTTTGTCCAAATAAAGTACCTTGGAACTTGAAAGTAGAAAAAAAGTACATTGTGTCCAAAATAAAGTACTTTATATTCCACTTTATTAGTAAGCTTAAAAATATATTTTACGTTGCTTCTAGCAACTTTTAATAAATAATTTGTAGCTACAAAGATCTGTAGTTCTTTTCCGCAACGGGAAAGGTCATGGCACAAAGCCATACAGCCACGGTAATGTTGCAAGAATGAGCTAAGGACGACATATTATACATACAGTCTGTCCGTTTTACGCAAAAATTCTTCCAATCAATCCCTTTTTGTATATTTTATGCAAAGTTAATCACCGAGTAATCAAACCACATAAAATAAAGTATAGAGTACAATTACCCGAAATAACTTACAATACTTTATAATAAAGTACGGGTGGCAACCCTACTTGTACCCCTCCCAGAAAAAAAATCTGGTTCCTACCTTGCCTGTCTACGTCTTGTCTAGGGTTCTACAGTGAGAGTGGAGAAGCCTACCTACCGCTGCCGTATGCGTGAGAGGAAGGGAAACCAGACAGACTGGCGCCGCAACGCGTTACGTAACGAAGGGGCGTACCCTCTTATAAGAAGTTATCATTTCAAAAAGATTTATCCCATATTACGTAAAACAGCATGAACTTTATTTCAAGTTTAATTGCCGAGTCTAAAAGTGTGACTCGTTCTCGTAAAGTTCGTTTGCTCATATAAATTACATTATAATCATAATCAAAATCATTTATTCAGTTTAGGCTGTTACAAGCACATATGAATGTCTAGAAGCTACGTCATCGGTTCGTAAATCTACGGCGGGAGACCTTGTGCTAAGAAGAACCGGCAAGAAACTTAGCAAGGGCTGTTTTTTTCTCCCTGTTTTATCATTTACAGAGTCGTCAAGTTGGAAAATGACTTTAGAGATGATTAATGAAATCACCTTTCATTGCATAATGTGAAATTATACATTACTTGTTCGCCTGCATTTTGATTGCTGTGTCACACAGTATAAATACAAGTAGAGTTATTTATAATAGGTGTAACTAAACATTTACATCTTAAATATCAAAGTAGTTAGGGCAGACTCATCTCCGCTGGCAGCAAACTAACTACAGATGACTAGGTACCTTCGTTTAAGTAATAAAGCCTTGTATTGTAACAGACAGACAAGCAGTTGAGTTGAGGCATAAAAAAAGGGTTCCCTTTATCACCGTTTGGGAACGGAACCTGTATTTAGCTCCGAAACCAACATGTAACGCAGTCGGAAATTACATACAAAATGTACTCTTTAAAATCGTATCATTATCTTCATCATCAGCCTATTAATGTCTCCACTGCTAGGGCAGAGCCTTCCCTATGGATTAGTGATGTAACGAATATTCGCATTCGCATTCGCGAATATTCGCATATTTTTGAATTCGCAAAATCTCTGCGAATGTTTTGCGAATATGAATATTAGAAAAAAAAAATTTGAAGAAGTTGTAGTTCTGCCTTTCCTTGAATATTTATTGTTACATACTTTGCATTTAGCTCGTTCAGCATCGCAAAGTGTGAAATAAGTCCATGTTTCACTAGAATTCGATTTACCATGAGTAAATCGATAATTTACTTAATAAATCACTATTACCACTCACAATCACTAACCTCAAAATTCACTTGTTTTGTTTACGGAAAGACCGGTGCGAGCGGAATGACACTTCAGTCGGATGAGTTCATATCAACTCGGCAATTCGAACGAGACTGCCACCATGCCATAGATTGGCGCCAATTTAAAAAAACCTAAATATTCGCATATGTCGGTACCAGACATTCGCATTCGCGAATGTTCAAAAAATGACATTCGTTACATCACTACTATGGATGAAATTGAGAGATTGGGCCATGACCCACCACGCGGCCCGAGTGCTGATTGGAGCCGGGATCAACGGCTTAGCGTGCCTTCCGAAGCACGGAGGAACTCGAGATAGAAAATTTTTCGTCACCCATCCAATGACCGACCACTGCGAAAGTGGCTTAACTTCAACGATCGCAGCCGAACGAGCTAACCTCCCGCGCCATCGAGCTCGTCGTCTCGAGCTCTCGCCTCGAGATAATCGTATAAATAGGAACATAAATATATAAATATGTTTGTTATCTATACATTTTTTTATATGAATTTTATCCAATTTGACATAGTGAATTTGTAATTTTTTCTTTTTACTTATTAATTGTAATAATCCAATTTGACATAAAAAATTGTAATTTGATATATTATTTTATGCATGTCTGCTTTTATTTTGTATTATTATTATTTCCAACACAATTATATTGTTTAATGGAATAAATGAATTGAATTGAATTATCATAATAGGCAGTGATGATCAAATCTACATAGGATATTACTTTAAAAAAAATGAAATCCGGTTCTCCTTTTGTACCACAGTAATCGGTAAATCGGAATTTGGCGTGACCAATCTTATTATTAGTCACTAGCAAACCAGTGAACCAAATGTTCACCAAAACCTGATTTAAAAAAAAATGTATTTAATTAATTTTATTTATTTTTATTTTATTTATTTATTTATTAGGACCACCAGGGAAAGTTACATTAAATCTTATTTTTAAACATTATAGTGATACATACAAAATGCAAAATTCTATTGAAGGTAGCCATATCATGCTTAAGAGACAGTACGAACGGATGAATTTTAATTAAATAAACAAACAGAAACACAAACTGAAACCACATGTAAACAATGAAGTTTATGAACTATTAGTGGCTTTGAAACTATAGATAATAGAAAACGAATATATATAATTACTCGATATAACAAATTTAACGACAAAAATAAAAATAAATGCCAACTATGAATGCCTACGCATCTCTTAATAACTCTGAAACTTTAGTCCTGAATCGTAGAAAAGAGTCATGGAAGATATCAACACTCTCACTCTCACTTAGCTTGTTGTAAGCTTCGGGCAAGCGATATGATGCAGAGTGTGTTAATATATTTGTGCGAGCGATTGGTTTGCTGAATGTTGGTACAGGATAGCGTGGTGGTTTACGGGGAACTCTAATATTTATCTTACTGAGAAATTGTGGGCAATCAACTACATTTCTGACAATTTTAAATAAAAATGTGATGTCCAAAATATTTCTCCTAGTGAGAAGACTGTCCATATTAAAATACTGAAAATACTTCTTTGGCTGTAGTTGGTAGATTTTGTATTCAGCCTGCTACTGAATGTGAGATGTCTAGTAAAGCGTTTCTGAATGCGTTCAATACGAAGCTGATGTATACTGTACTGAGGAGACCAAATAACTGAACAGTACTCTAAGGTGCTTCTAACAAAGCTGTTATAAATCAAAACCTTTGTTGAGGGATTTCTGAATACTTTGACATTTCTCATAATGAATCCTAGAGTTTTTGAGGCTCGAGTAATAATGTTATCTATATGTGGAGTAAATGTTAATTTAGAATCTATTATTACACCCAGATCTCGAATAGCATTTACCTCCTCTAACACAGCATCACTTACTTTATATTGTGACTCAAAATTGTGAGACTTGCGGGATAACTTTATATGATAACATTTATTAATATTGAGAGACATTTCATTTATCTTGCACCATTCCACTAAGCTATCAATGTCCGATTGTAGGAGTTTAGCGTCCTCATCACAGTGAATAACTTTTATTAGTTTGAGATCATCTGCATATAAAAAAACATCACTGTGCTTAATTACATCTACAACGTCATTAATGAAAACATTGAAAAACAATGGTCCTATATGAGAACCCTGAGGTATACCTGATGTGGATAAATATTGATCTGAACGGAAACCCTTTACAACCACGTATTGAGAACGATTAGTTAAATATGTATGCAACCACATCAATAAAGAACCGGTGAATCCATATTTTGAGAGCTTGTTTACTAATATTTTGTGACAAACCTTGTCAAATGCCTTGGAAAAGTCAGCATAGACAGCATCGCTTTGCAACTGGGAGTCCATATTGTTAACAATGAGATTAGTGAAAGCGATGAGATTTGTGCTGGTAGACCTAGATCTCAAGAATCCATGCCGGCGATCAGTAATAAGATGTTTTATTTGGGCGTAAAGATGTGGATATATTAGCGCTTCAAATATTTTTGGTATAACTGATAAGATTGAGATTGGTCTATAATTAGCAATATTGTTTTTGTCACCGCTTTTGTAAATTGGTACAACCTTAGCAATTTTCCA